TTCCCCAGAGCACACATTATGTGGCCGTGAAGCCAGGTCTGCGGAGGTCAGGCTGCCTGGTACCAACCCTGAAGCGAAAGAAATACTGACCATATTTAGTTCTGGCAGAAGTAGGCATTACCATCCCTTCCTGTACATTTGTTTCTCTCCAAAAGACCAATAAGAGGTTTCAGAGAAATGGGGAGGTGGGTCCAAGCACAAATTATCTGCCAGGCTTGGTTCAAGGCACAGAGCACAAGCAACGGACAAAAGCCATTGCCTTCTCTTTTTGGGGGGAGCAGATTCTGGAGATCAAACCCAGGGCTTCCTACATATAAGGTAAGTGTTTTACACTGAGCTACAGCCCCGCCAACCCCACCTTCTTCTTGAAGCTGCCATTCTGATAGGGGAAATGAGCAATTAGATGCTTAATATGCTGTTGAGAAGGAAACCCTCGGAGGTCTCCAAGACTAGTGGGACAGAGAAACATGTTCACGAGCAGTTACAGGAGGCTACGGAAGCCAGAGTTGGCGAGGAGGCACAGGAGAGGGAGGCAGCCTTGACTACTTTGGAGTCTGCCTTTGCATGCTGGCCCACAGATGTGACTGTGTGACCTGGTGGGTGACTTCCGGCTGAAGTCTGCACCTGGGCTAACAGGTCCAGAGAGTTAAGACATTTGTGGACATTAGCTTAAAGGCAGTAAATAAGGGCCAGAGAGATGGATCAAAGATCTAAATGCAGGGCCGGAGTGATAGTACAATGGGTAGGGCATTTGCCTTGCATGCAGCTGACCCGGGTTCGATCCTCAGCATCGCATATGGTCCCCCAAGCACTGCCAGGAGTAATTCCTGAGTGCAGAGCCAGGAGTAACCCCTGAGCATCGCTGAGTGTGACCCAAAAAGGAAAAATAAAGATCTAAATACATGCTTTGCAGATGTGAGACCCATGCTCCATTTTTTGGCACCACATGGTAAGCACTGGAGTAACCCCAACCTCCCACCAAAGCACTACCCCAAAAAAACTGAAAATAAGGGCAAAAAACAGCTCAGTAGCCAAGAACCTGCTTACAACTGTGAAAGTATGAGCTTGAGGCCAGCGCTGCACCAAGTGCAATTCTGATGACAGCGCTGTTGGTAGTGTGGCCACGTCCACAGTGTGCCGCAGCCCTGAGTCCCGCAACTAAAAGTATGTGAGTGTAGAGGTCAGGTGGTCCTCCCAGTGAGACCTGTGAACAAGATGTGCGGGAGCATCATAACTATGGAGTGAGACGCCCACAAGCGTTCCCTCGCCACCCCAGGGGATACCAGGAAGAGGAGAGTGAGCATTGTTAATGCCGGTGCCGCTAGGAACTGCCTAGCAGTCTAGGAGCTATAGTTCTAGAACAATTGGCTTGGCAGCTTGATGAGGTTCAGTTATGGAGCTGAGCCCTCGGGTGTGTGTGGTGGGGTGAGGACAACCCCCGATGCAAGAAGAGGGGACTCTGGGTGAAAGTGGGAGATTCTAGGTGTGCATGACCATGTTTGCCGGAACTCCTGTGGAGAGGGGCGCAAGGGAAGCAGGGGAGAACCTTGCTAGGAGAGGGTTGTACTTGCTCGCCCCCTCATCCTAGGTATTCTCCCCAGCACACAAGGCACAGAAAGGGGAACTTTTTAAAAATTTCTGGTCCGGGAGGCTGGAGCGATAGCACAGCAGGTAGGGTGTTTGCCTTGCACGCGGCTGACCTGGGTTCAATTCCCAGCATCCCATATGGTCCCCCGAGCACTGCCAGGGGTAATTCCTGAGTGCAAAGCCCGGAGTAACCCCTGTGTATCACAGGGTGTGACTCAAAAAGCAAAAAAAACACAAAATTTCAGGTCCAGAGAGACACCTAAACAGCCAGAGCACATGCTTCCTATCAGAAGGCCAGGGCTCAATTCTCCAGCCTCACATGGTTCCTCAATCACTACCAGGAGTGATCTCTGAGCACAGAACTGGGAGTAAGCAGGAATCATCACTTAATCACTTAACTTCCCGTTAGTCGTCGATTTGCTCGAGCGGGCGCCAGTAACGTCTCCATTTGTCCCTGTCGCGTGCTAGTGTAGCCCAATGGCATCTCTTCGCTCCGGGAACATGGAGGGCCTCAAACCGATCGTTCATGACCTTGACAAAGAAGTCTGACCATCTGGTAGGTGGGCGGCCACGCGGTCTTTTGACATCCCGTGGAATCCAATCAGTAACAGCTCTAGTCCAACGGTCGTCTTTAAATCTCATTACGTGACCAGCCCATCTGATTTTCGACACCTTGGCAAATGAGACAGCGTCCCTGATCCTTGATCGTCGACGGATGTCAGAACTCCGGATTCGTTCTCTCATTTGAGTGAAACGTGATATTCCAAGCATAGCTCTTTCTATTCTTCTTTGGGAGACCTGAATGGCGTTCTCATCTTGTTTGTGTAGGGCCCAGGTCTCTGAGGCATATGTTAATGCAGGAAGAACAGTGGAATCAAAGAGATGTGCCCGGAGCCGGAGGTTCTTCGTCCTCTTAGCTATTTCTTCGACGTTCTTGAAGGCGTTCCAAGCCGCTCTCTTCCTCCTGCGCAGCTCGGGTGCCAGGTCATTTGTCATGTTGACCTCTCGACCTAGGTAGACATAGCTGTTGCATTCGGAGATGGTCGTTCCATTGAGAGCGAATGGGGCGTCAGGAACAAGGCTGTTTCTCATAAACATTGTCTTCGTAAGATTCAGCTGTAGTCCTACCTTTCCACACTCACGGTCAAAGTCGGCCAGCATTTGTGCCGCTTGGCTGATGTTTGGTGTTATTAAAACAATGTCATCAGCAAAGCGGAGGTGGTGTAGTTGCCGACCATCTATCTTCACTCCCATTCCTTCCCATTCCAGTCGTCGCATGATGTTCTCGAGGGTGGCACTGAAGAGTTTTGGTGAAATGGTATCACCCTGCCGCACTCCTCTCTTGACATCAACGATCACTTCTTTGTAGAATGGTGAGATCCTGGTAGTGAATCCGCAATACAGCTCACGGAGGATCCTGATGTATTGGGCTTGAATGCCCTGATTGGCTAGGGCTTCAATGACCGCTTCCGTCTCAACAGAATCAAAGGCCTTCTTTAAATCAATGAACGTTAAGCAGAGCGGCATCTTGAACTCCCGAGAAACCTCAATGAGTTTGGTTATCGTGTGGATATGGTCGATGGTGCTGAATCCTTTGCGGAACCCTGCTTGCTCACATGGTTGTCCTTCATCTAGTGTTCTGCCAATCCTATTCAGGATGACTCGAGTGAACAACTTGTAGATGACAGACAATAGGCAGATCGGGCGATAGTTGCCAATGTCATGGATGTCTCCCTTCTTGAACAGTAGTACGGTCCTGCTGGTTTTCCATTGAGATGGAACCTTGCATTCAGACAGGTAGCGAGTGAAGAGCCGAGCCAGTGTATTGATGAGTACTGACGGCAGGTTCTTCAGGTGTTCAGGTCTGACCTTGTCTGGGCCTGGTGCTGTTTGCTTCTTTACTGACGAAATGGCGTGTCGGATTTCGGAAGGGAGAACGTTGGGAACGACATACCCATCCTGTGGAATTTGGTATGTTGGCAAGTGGACATGGCTATCGAAGAGATTTGAGTAGAAGTCATGGATAATCTTCTCACATGGTTCCTCAATCACTACCAGGAGTGATCTCTGAGCACAGAACTGGGAGTAAGCAGGAATCATAATAATAATAATTTAATGAAATATGGGCTGGAATAGCACAGTGGGTAGGGCATTTGCCTTGCACGTGGCCGACCTGGGACGATTCCTCCATCCCTCTCGGGGAGCCCGGCAAGCTATCGAGAGTATCCGGCCCGCACGGCAGAGCCTGGCAAACTACCGTGGCATATTCAATATGCCAAAAACAGTAACAACAGGTCTCACAATGGAGATGTTACTGGTGCCCACTCGAGCAAATGGATGAACAATGGGAGGACAGTGCTAATAAAATATACACTCTGCTTGTAGTAAAGTGTTACACACTCTGCTCGTAGTGAGGGGTCGACAATTGTTAACTGTGTCCTGTGCTGGGTGTGGCTGCTGCAGATTGAGATATGAAACTTGTTTTCTTTGTAAAATTTCCAGTTTGGGGATTCCATCCACTGCTCTGTTCAGTGTTTGGGACCCCGATGCGCCAACCTTGTGAAATTCTCACCCTCTTTTTTTTTTCTTCTTTTTTTTTTGGCTACCATGAGGGTCAATCCCAGGCCTCACACATGCAAGGCAGGTGAACCACTGAGCACTAAAACGTGTTTTTCAAATGGGAACTGACAAGAGGGGAGCAGCTTCGATGCCTTCAGAAGACTTCACCTGGGGCAGGTGCTGGGGCAGGTGCCAGGGCAGGTGCCAGGACGGCAGCAAGGCCCATCTGTCCTAGGAACAAAGAAGCTGGTGATTTGTCAGAGGCAGTGTGTACGTGCGTGTGTGTGTGTGTGTGTGTGTGAGAGAGAGAGAGAGAGAGAGACAGAGAGACAGAGAGACAGACAGAGAGAGACAGGGACAGAGAGACAGAGACAGAAAGAGACAGAGACAGAAAGAGAGACAGACAGAAACAGAGACAGAGAGACAGAGAGAGAGATGCTTACGTGTGCAGAAGGTGGGCTGACAGAAGGGTGCATAGGGAAAGGTGAAGAGAGAAGGGTGTAAGATGTGGAAGGAGGTGAAGCCTGGCGCACTGGCGCAGGGTCAGGGCGCGTGGGACCGAGCAGCAGGTGCGGAGGTCATGGGATGCGACTCACCTGCGCAGAGTCCGCCGGAGATGAAATCAAATCCAGATGTTATAGCTAACTCTGACCTCTTCGGTGCCGCAGTTCCGGCACCTGTGAAGCGGAGCTAATAACTTCAGTTGCGTGCTCGCAAGCTGGCAGCCCCGAGGTGAGCCGCTCCCCCAGACCCACTCCGTCCGGGCCCCCGCCCGTCCCGCAGGTTGCGTCACTGGCCACGCCCCTACGGCCACGCCCACCCGCCTCTATTCTGTCCCCCATCCCAGGCTCCTTCTCCACTCTCGGACAGAACCGAGTCCAGAAGCGACGTGCCACCCCAGCTCTCCGCGGACCCCCAGCCCCCGCCCCCGCGCCCATGGCCGCACTGGGACCCCGCACCTTACAGGCTATTTGTGGCGGTTGCTGCTGCCTCCTCCTGTGTGCCCAGCTCGCCGTGGCTGGTAACGGGGGTGGGAGCGGACGATGGGGGGGTGCTGGTTATAGGACAGAGGACTCCCCAGGGAGCACAGAGCTCCAGGGGTGGCGGGTAGGGAGCTTCAGGAAGCAGAAAGCTCCAGGTGTGTGAGATGGGGAGGGGAACAACCCCAGATGCAAGAAGAAGGGGCTCTGGGTGAAGGTGGGAGAGTCTAGGTGTGCCGGGACGCCTGTGGAGAGGGGCGCAGGGGAGGCAGGGGAGAGCCTTGCTAGGAGAGGGTTGCACTTGCTGGCCCCCTCATCCTAGGTAAAGGAGCTCGAGGCTTTGGGCGGGGTGCACTCTTTCGCATGAACTTTGGGCCAGCTGTCGTAGGGAGCTGCAAACACCTGAAGCTCTGCGAGCACTGTGTGCAGAGCCACCGGGCTCACAACCTTTCTGGCTGCGTGTGGGAGCAGTGTCAGCAGGAGCCAGGTAGGGAGATAACTATCTCCTCCCCCCATCCAAGCTCTGAACCCCAGAACCTCAGCCCCCTCTCCAAACCTCTGCCCTGCACCTTCTCCCTTCAGGACACTGCGTGGGCCCCGCTGAGGCGGTCAAGGAAGGTTGCTCCATCTACAATTACTCAGTGTCCTGTCCAGGTAAGGGGCTCCCACAGACTGAGCTGAGCTGGAGGGAATCTCTGAGGTGTCAGCAGCCAGAGCCAACACCCCCGCCCCCGCCCCTGAAAGGAGTTGTTTCTCCCAACAAGTGGCCCACTCCCAGGATCCCCGGGGTTTGATTTTAGTCCTGACTTCTTGCTCCCTCGCAAAGATCCTTTCTCTGGCTTGTTTTCTCCTCTGACATTAGTAATGGAGAGGATAGTGGTGTTAGCTCCTTCGAGCTGTCAAGTGGGAAGTTCAGAAGGGAATGAGGAGAGGGCCTAGAGCAATAGCACACGGGGTAGGGCTTTTGCCTTGCACGCATCCAACCCAGGTTCAATTCCCAACATCCCATGTGGTCCCCTGAGCACCGCCAGGAGTAATTCCTGAGTGTAGAGCCAGGAGTAACCCCCGTGTATCACTGGAGATGACCCCCCCAAAAAAAGAAAGAAAAAAAAGAAGGGAATGAGGGGAGGACTTCCCTGGAAGAGGTGGCACAATGGTGCCTTGTGAAGAGAGAGGGCACATCCGCTGGACAGAACTATAGGAACAAGGGCTTGAAACTATATGGGGTGGTCCTGGCACAGAAGCCCAATCTGAGCCACAAGTCCAGTCTCTAACTTTGTGTCAGAGAGCAGGGTGCTGGGTTTTTAATGGAGTCTCTGTCTTTTCAGCTGCCCATCACCACCCTACCTATGAGCCGAAGATGGTCACAACAGGTAAATGCCACCAGGGGTGGGTGCAGGGGAGAGTGGGGGTGCAGGAAAGAGCCCGAGTTTCAGGCATGCTCATGGCATCAACCCCTGGACTTCTCCCTCCAAGTCATTTCCACATCTGTGAAATGGGTCGGCTAATACCTGACAAGTCTCTGTGAGAATTTTATGAGGCACTATAGCTCCTGGTTTACTGTCTGATGTAGAGAAAGCTCTGAAAATTCTGAAGACTCAGGGTGACCCCCAGGCCTCCATTGGGTGATGGGTGTAGGGCTCAGCCTGCCCATGGGTCTCTATCTACTTCTGCCTCCAGGCTCAGAGGTGGGGGGGAGGTGACAAAACAGGGTCCTTGCAGAGGCAAGAACCCTATCCCTCTCTTCCCACTGCCCCTCAGGACAGGAGGTCGCCGGCTTGGCAGGGGTGGCGGAAGAGGCTCTTGGTTAATTAAAGGCAGAAACAGGATCTCTGAAGGCTGAATTATTGATGGCTCAGGTCCCGTGGCTTGAGCTCTACCTCAGCTCGGGTGGCTCATTTCTTTTCTCTTTCTTTTTTGGGGGGGGCTATTGGGCACACCTGTCTGTGCTCAGGGCTTACTCCTGGCTCTATGCGCAGGAATCCCTCCTGGAGAGCTTGGGGGACCGTATGGGATGCTGGGAACAAACCCAGGTCGGCCAGGTGCAAGGCAAATGCCCTACCTGCTGTACCTGTGCTCTGTCCCTCGGGTGGCACATTCTGTCCCCCATCCTTTCCTTTCTCCAGTGCCCTCCCCAGGGCTCCCTGAGATGTAACTGGGACCACCTACTGCCCCCCATATTCTCAAATCCCTTTCACAACCTCCCTCTCTGGGAGAAAGCCTGGCTCCCCGCTGGGTCTCTGTCCGCTGCTGCCCCTGCGGGTGCTGGCAGCAGCAGCTGAGCCTGGGCACGTGGCCCAGAGCCTGACACTGAATCCCTGGTGGGAGTTGATGGCGAACTGGCATAGCTGGGAACGACCTGGGCAAAAGCGGCCCCCGTGCCCCTCAGGCTGAGCTGAGGGAAGGGGCCGAGGGTGCGCCATCCCAATGACTTGGGAGCCATCTGGCCTTGGCCATTTCTCCATCTGATGTAGGTCACTCCCCCTCCTGGCCTCTGCCCCTTTCCTCTCTCAGTGCCTTTCCCGGCTGAGGAAGGATGACATGGGGTTTAACCTGGTCTCAAGGAGTAGGATCCTGAAGGAGGTGCCTCGTCTCCAGCTGGGCTTTGAACCTCAGGACCTGAGGCTGAAAAGGCCTGTGGACTGAAGAATCTGGATACCGGAGTTCTGGGGTGGGGGTGGGGGAAGACCCTCCTCACCCAACCGGATGGGAGCAGGACAGAGAGGCTGAAGGGAACTCGGGGCATCTGGTCCCAGCAGTAGGAGGTCAGGGCTGTCCGGGCACACAGCAGGTCAGCATGCAAGACCATGCCCATGCCCACCCTCAGATGCTTCCCATGGCCCCACCTGGGCTGACGTGCTGCGCTGTGGCTTGAGGCTCCGCGTGAGCTGCTTGTCGGGGCGGGGCCAAGTTCCCATCCTTGATGGCTGCTCTGACCTCCCCCCACCGCACCCCACAGGGAGCCCCCTAATCCCCGAGAGCGGTGGACCTGACTTTGACAGTGCCAGCTTTGTGGGGGGCATCATCCTGGTGCTGAGCGTGCAGACAATGATCTTCTTCATGCTGCGCTTTCTCAAGGCCAAGAGCAACCCATACGAGTCTCTGTGAGTACCTGGCACCACCCCCGCCAGCCACGCAAGGGCCTTTGCAGCCTTGCCTGGTGCCACAGCCCTAGCCCCTCCTGCCTTGGTGGGTTCCCTCTGCCAGGAGCCCAGTGTGGGAGTCGCACTGAGCCCTCTCATCTGTCCCCTCACGCTGCCAGCAGGGAGGAGACTCAGACCCAGTAGGTGAGGGGCAGGCCGTGGGGACTGGGCGCTGCCTGGCCATGTGTGCGTCTGTCTGCTTTTCCTGCTGGGGGCCCCGTGTGCTGTGTGCTGTGGGGAGGGCTGCCACAGCCTCTGTTCACATTTGCTGTCCACCCACTGCCCGTGCTGAGGGGGTAGGGGATGGTCCTGCCTGAGTCTGCGCCCCCACCCGATGCCTCTGTCTGGCCTCCACAGACACTGAGCCTCTTTCAGCCTGGACTCTCCACTGAGGGAAGAGGATGACGAGGCCAGCCTGCTGCGGGTGTGGGGGTAGGGGGGAATCTGACCCCTGATTCCTGGCTGTGCTGGGCACTGGCAGGCTCCACTCCTGCTATCTGGCCATCTCTCCTGTCAGGGGGTCCACAGCCCCCCTCAAGCTCCTGCTGCCTCATCCATTATCCCTCCACGGGCCTCTGCCTGGTGTGGCTCTGAGCCTCCCTCCCCTTCAATAAAGGATCTCTTTCCAGCCCCGGCTGCCTTGCTGTGTCCGGGGAGTGTGGACTGGGGGGCTGGAGGTGGTCGCTCTCTGCTCCATGTGCTTCAACCACGGCACACTGTCACCCTTTGCCGTATTCAGTCCCTTGTAGGTGACTCTGTGGAGGTCGGGACTCAGAGAGGTGAGCCCTCTGGCTCCAGGTCACCCACAGGCTTGGACAGGGCTGGGACTTGAATCCGGGTTTCTCTGGCTTCAGACTGAGCAGGACTGTCCCAGCTCCGCTGCCAGGGCCCCTCCCTGCAAAGGTCTCTTACTGCTTTCAGAAGAGAAGCCATCCAATAAAGAACCATCCTCGACTGGGTGGAAAGCCCGCAGGAGGGACAGTTCCTTCGGCAGGCTCAGAGGGAACAGGTTTGACCCCTGCCGGCGCTTACCTGCTAGCGAGATGGTCCAGGCAGGAGATGCTGCTGCTGCAAGGCAGTTGAGGAACCAGCAGAACCAAAGAGCTGGAGCAGTGCCGGGGAGGAGCGAGGGAGCTTTAACGGAACCAGGCGGGGAGAGGAGGGTGCCCACTGGGAGGCCAGGGAGAGCAGGGAACCCCATGGGGACCCAGGTGAGGAGGGGGTGCAGAGGCTTAAGTGCAGTTTGCACTGACTGAGTGGGGTGTCTGCTCCATATCCTCTGGAGTGGGACCTGCCACTGCCCCACACACATGCCCCGCCGCCTGGCGTTAGCAAGAAAACTAAGGCCCAGAGCTCTGGGAGAACTTGTTTCTTTTCAGCAGACAAGCCCAGGGTCAGACTCTTGGACACGTGCCTGCTTTCAGTTGAGGGCTTCCTTGGTGGGCAGAAGCTGTGATCAGTTTGGGGGACGAGCACTTCAGTGCCAGGCTGGGGGCACGCTGGAGGCAGGCAGGTGGGGTCAGACTCCCCAGGATGGAGAGAAGTGGCAAGTGGCAGGGCAGGCTGGCATCTGAGAACCCCAGGGCTCCCTCCTCTCCCCGCCTGGTTCCGTTAAAGCTCCCTCGCTCCTCCCCGGCACTGCTCCAGCTCTTTGGTTCTACTGGTTCCTCAACTGCCTTGCAGCAGCAGCATCTCCTGCCTGGACCATCTCGCTAGCAGGTAAGTGCCGGCAGGGGTCAAACCTGTTCCCTCTGAGCCTGCCGAAGGAACTGTCCCTCCTGCGGGCTTTCCACCCAGTCGAGGATGGTTCTTTATTGGATGGCTTCTCTTCTGAAAGCAGTAAACGCCTGTGAGAAAATGGCACTGGCGGTTTGTGATTCCAACACACACACACACACAGACACACACACACACACGCCTGTGAGAAAATGGCACTGGCGGTTTGTGATTCCAACACACACACACACACACACACACACACACACACACACACACGCCTGTGAGAAAATGGCACTGGCGGTTTGTGATTCCAACACACACACACACACACACACACACACACACAGTCTCTGGTGCACCACAGCTGAGTGAGTATGCAAACCTGAAACTAGAATGTGTGGCCTGATTGTTGCAGCAAGAAAGGCTCAGGAAGGAGCCGGCAGGGAAGAATGACAATCACGAGGCCTCAGGGCAGCTCTGTGTAGAGCTCGTGCTTCGAATGTCTGATGCCAAGAGTTCCACCCTCTAAGAACCACACTTCCCTCGAGCCCATTACCCAGAAATGATGCTGGTTATCTCCATGGCAGACCTCTCTGTGTTTAGAAGCTACATACACATTGGTTTTTCTGGGACACTGAGTAGAATGCTGCTCTTCACACAGAGTTGTAGCTGGCCTCATTCACGGGCAATCAGATCGGTCCCTCAGCCAGAGAAAGCAAAATGGCTAAGCCTGTGCTTGGTGTGGGTGCGGCTTGGGTTTGACTAAACCACCGGTGATCCAGTGAGCACCTGTGGGAGAAATGTCTGCCCCTCATCCCCAGTTCCACCAGTCGTGGCCCTCAAAACAAAACTAACCATCGGGGCTGGATCAATAGTACATGGGTTGGTGTGTTTGCCTTGCACACCGCTGACCTAGGTTTGATCCTCAGCATCCCATATGGTCCCCAGAGCACCTCCAGAAAGAATCTCTGAGTATTGCCGAGTGTGGCCCAAAAACAAAACAAAACCAAAAATCCCTAACTGGGGGTATGGTTCCACCAGCAGGCCAATCTGTACCTATGAGGCGAATGCATCAGCAGCCTGATGGTGCCTTCAAACTTCCAGATACCCCAAAATTGCTGCTGTGCCTTTGACCAGACCCCCAAAACTTGGGGCAAAGTTTACCAAGAAAGTAAACGGCCAAAAGTTAGGTATGTAGGAGACACACCCACAAACCACCTCTGGCTCAGCTATATAATTGGAGGCATGGACTCTCTGGTTCCTGATTGAACTGCTTAATGGCCATGATCCCAGAGACTCAGAAACAAATCTCGAAACCCAAAGGCTTTTGGCAGAAATTCGTCCAGTCCCTGCAGTAGGTTACCGGTGCTGGGCCAACCCAGCTGGGAATAGGTTTCATGCCTTGGCCTATTCCCCCTGGCGGCCCGGTGCCCACCATCCTCCAGAGGCCACTGGATAGTCAGGTTTGGACCCGCAGTGAGGAGACATGCAGGGCCTCATGGGATGGGGGTGGAGCCGGTCCTTTCCTCCCCATCCCAGTGAGATCCCAAGTCATCACCCACGAACGGCCTCCCTGGCTCCTGATCAAGCTGCTTAATGGCCATGATCCCAGAGACTCAGAAACAAATCTCGAAACCCAGCGGCTTTTGGCAGAAATGCGTCTGGACCCTGCAGTAGGTTACTGTCGCTGGGCTACCCCAGGGGGGAAAGGGTGTTGTCCCTCCACCTGCTCCCGCTTGGTGACTCGGTGGCTGCCATCCTCCAGAGGCCATTGGACAGTCAGGTTTGGGCCTGCAGTGATGAGACATGTTGGGCCTCATGGGATGGGGGTGGAGCCGGTCCTTTCCTCCCCGTCCCAACGAGACCTCAAGTCATCACCCACGAACGACTTCTCTGGCTCCTGATAAAGCTGCTTAATGGCCATGATCCAAAAGATTCAGAAACAAATCTCGAAACCCAGTGGCTTTTAGCAGAAATGCATCCGGACCCCGCAGTATGTTACTGTCGCCGGGCCACCCCAGGGAGAAAAGGGTGTTGTCTCTCCACCTGCTCCCCCTAAGCGGCTCGGTGGCCACCGTCCTCCAGAGGCCACAACAGTCAGGTTTGGGCCCTCAGTGATGATACACGCGGGGCCTCATGGGATGCGGGTAGAGCTAGCCTTTTCCTCCCCGTCCCAATGAGACCCCGAGTCACCGCCCATGAACAGCCTTTCTGGCTCCTGATCAAGCTGCTTAACAGCCATGATCCCAGAGACTCAGGAGCAAATCTCGGAACCCAGCAGGTTTTGGCAGAAATCCCTCCAGATTTATGGACACGAACACGGTCCTCCCATTGTTCATCGATTTGCTCGAGTGGGCCCAGTAACGTCTCCACCGTGAGACTTGTTGTTACCGTGTTTGGCATATTGAATACGTCGTGCAGATGAGATACTCTCGGTAGCTTGCCGGGCTCTCCTAGAGGGGCGGAGGAATCCAACTCAGGTTGGCCATGTTGGCTGCTTGTAAGGCAAACGCCCTACTGCTGTGCTCAGAATTTCAAAATCGCGTGGCCACTACTGCAGCCACGCAACATCATATGTTATTCATAACCAGCAATAGAAAACAAATTGTCTATTGTTGCCTTTTCAGCAGATCTGAGTGTTGGGGTAAAATCTCAAATAATAATGGTGGGTCTGGTGTCAAGATATTGAATGTGATCAAAGTAGAGAGAGAGTAATGTGGAAATCATCTGCCCCACAGGCAGGGAGAGGGTGTGGGATGGGGGTATACTAGGGTTGTTGGGGGTGGAGAATGGGCACTGGTGAAGGTACGGGTGTTTCATTGTATGCCCGAGACTTAGACCTGAACGCTTTGTAACTGCTCTCATGGTGATTGAATAAATAAAATTATAAAAACATGAAAAAAAAGTAAGCTGGAGTTCATGCCCAATTCAATCAGCTAATCAGTGGCTGAATAAATAGCAGTACTCTTACATTAAAAAAAAAAAAAACCCAACCGTCTGTTCTAGCTTGCCAGAAGGTCATGACCTGCCTGGGGCCTTGTAATGTCCAGTGGACATTTGAACACTGATGACTGTAAGGAATGCACTGATGGGCCAGCTTGTCTGCAGAGATGGGGTGCCTGTCAGAGGTCTTAGGTGACAGAGCCAAAGGTGGAGTGGCAGAGGTCCTTGTGTCTGTCTCACTAGATCCCTCCAGCCCGACAAACTCACTTCCACTTTTCTTCATCCCCTTTCATACCCCAGCCCTCCCATCCCACCTCTGTTGTCTTGGCATAGAGGAGAACTTTGTGGTCTGAATGAAGACCACAAATGAATGAATGGACAAGAGAATGAATGAATTAACAAACTCCCTTCTTCCCAGATCACCCAAGTGCCTTCTCAGCTCAGACTGCACCCCTCACATCTGGACCACGATGCCTTCTTCCAGCAACCACCCCTGCCCCATGCCCCGTTCCTGGTATGCCCTGAGTGGGTGGCCCCTGGGACTGGC